TCCAGGGCTCATTTTTTTTTCCTTCTTCAGTTTCAGATGGTGCCTGCAAGCCTGGATGTCCAGTTAAACTCAGCTAGTGCTTGGCGTTTGCCCCTTGCCTGCATTCCTCCTCCGGTTCCGGCTCTACCCACCCAGTCTTTGATTTCTCTCACAGAACACTTGCTTCCCTAGTTATTCATCTTTCTATCTTTCTTTCTCTCTAAGAAAAATCTCCTGCTTGTGATCTTTCTCAAGACCACACAAAGCGCCTTTTTGTACGATGATGGTGGACAGATGTGCTTTTTCCAACGGGTTCTATTTTACTTGCTTATTTATGTATTTGGAAGATTTCAGTCTTTAGTCCTGAAGAGAATAAATCAGAACATTCTTTTTCTCTTAATTTATACTGAGATGGATTTTCATTAATCTGGAATGATTTGTTAATTAGACATACTTCTTTCCTTAACATTTTTTATTAGTATGTTTGTGGTATGTTATACATAGTTCTCAAGCCTCTTTATGAACCCTCCAACACATACTAGGAAAGATTAAAGAGCACAAACTTGTCTTTTAAAGAAAAGGTTTTTAAGAACAGACAGCAGAGCTATTTAACAATAGCTTATTTTTCTTTTCACAGAACAGTTTTCAAAGCATTTATGTGAAGTGGACAAGATTAAGTGTTCCACAACTATACACAAAAATTTTGTAATTATATTTCTCCAAATTGAAATGAGTGTTTTCTGTAGCAGAGAATATTAGATTCAGAAGAGACTATATGACTCATCAAGCAGTAAATCTCATTTCATAGATGACGATGCATAAGCCACAAAAGCTGAATAACCCATAAAAGGGTTCACAGCTTGAGAATAGCAGTGACAGGATGGTACACTGGGTTCCTGATTCTGATTCAAGGGCTTACCCTTTGTGCCTCCATGTTCTGTATCCGGGGCTGATAGCTCACGTGGCAGGGGCCCATTCAGCAGAAGCAGATGCTTTGCAAGGCTAAATCAGGATCTATGCTTTGGGTGGTAGGAAAAAAATTTAAAAAACAACATAGAGAAGAGTGGACCTTCAGCAATGTGGACCTGTTGACCTTGGGATTGTGAGTTACTGGCACATACATTCTCCATATTCACTGCACTGTCACTGAGTGGGTTCTGAGGAGGTTCCTAAGAGGAAAGTGGTGACCCCAACTTGCCACCCCCGACAGAGTAGGCTTATAGAAAATCCTCATAGAAAAGCATTTCATGACACATCAGTGAGAAGCAGATTAGACAGAATTAAATGAGTGTGTGCTGAAAAGAGAGTTGGAGCTTGAGGGATGAGGTCTGGCGGGGGCTTCCTATGTGGTCTTGGGTTGTCCTCAGGAAGAATGATGTGTGTGCTCCAGGGGTCTGTCGGGTTACCAGCTTTTGGGCTAGGTTATAATGCAACCCATCTGACTGTGTCTGAAGTTTAGAGATGCGGTACCCATTTCTTTGTGCTGTTTCCTTGAGCATAGATGTTTGTGGAATATGTGGATTTATAGCATTAGAAGAAAAGTACAGGCCCAATTTATAGGAGAAAGATTTAAGTCCAAGATTTCTGTACCTTTAAGACGCTTAGGAATTTTGGAGTGAGTTATCCAGAAGACGATAATAGGTATAGCAATGGAAAAATAAAGGTGAGTGTTGTAACCTTGGGTAACTTTCCAAAGCTGAAGTTTTCGTAAAAGTGCAGTTTTTAAAAATTATTGTTTTTCTTTTCTCCTTCCTTTATTTCCTGTACCTACCTTAATCATTTTGGGGTGAAGGTGACAGGCCAATGCTGAGGGTCTGAAAGAAAGAAAGAAAGAAAGAAAGAAAGAAAGAAAGAAAGAAAGAAAGAAAGGCAGAAAAAAAAAAGAAGTGACGTCTTCTACAGACAGACTTCTTGAAGTATGCAGCAAAGAGGAGAACATTGCCTTGGAGAGGTTGGCGGTAGTTAGCACATTGTTTCACCAATAAATTGGTTGCATAATTTTACTGAAAAACCATAATGTGGTGGAGCACTGGGAAGGGAAAACATTTATTCCAGCAGCAACTTGAGCTGAAAAACATTTTCAGAGGCTTTATAAACCAGCAATGTAGCTAATTCCTCTTTCAGAAGCATGCTTCCTATCAAAAAAGAAAATCCTTTATTTTTTAATTAGCCTGCCCCTTAATGTTCCTACTTTCTTATGGATTAATCCATACACTCATGAGATTTAGGAACTACCTACGATATGCCAAGCAACATAGTTATTGTCAATATTTACAACAACAAAATAAGGTTTCTTTCATGTGATAGAGGTTCAGAAAACATGCAAAGCTTTTACAGTGTTTGCAAATGTTTGTTCTGCTAGTTTGAAGTAAGTTATGGTGTTTGTGTTCTGAGCAAACAATTCCAATGTCTCATGTTAAAAAGAAATTAATCTTAGCTTCTTGAATTTTAAATCAACAAACAAAACACTCGTAAAAGAGCTGGCCATAAAAGAATGGGGTGTATTCAGGTTAAAGCAACTCAAAGGGTCTGTGCATACTTTTACCACATTTCACCGTGTATCAAATCTGCTTACAAACAAGGGTTACACTTAAGAGAATTGGATGTTAAAAATCATGTTGTTTGTGTATTTTTAAACTTCAGATTAATTATATTTTTGGATAGAGACTTTATGTATATTAATCACGTGCAAGTCTTGGTTTCCTCTCTCATCTTCCTGACTCTAACTCTTGGTCTTCAGAAAGACAGACAAAAGTGCTTTTTATAATACACCTACAAATGAAAATATTAATCACGTAAAATATGTATCAGAATATGTAATAGTCACATTCTGGATTACTCCCTTCTACTGGATTTCTAGGTTTCTAGGTCTCCCTTAAAATTTTTTTATGTATGTCCTATATAGTGCTGCAAGGGACTTGAGAACTCCATAACTGTCAGGGTTACTTATAAAAGACACAGCCATTTCTCCTGTTAGTATTGGTGCCTTGTCACATAATTTCGATTGGGTTACATTTTGCTGGTAAGTTTCTGCTCTCGTCTACCAAATAAAAAGATCTGAGAGTGAAGAAAAATTCATACTTTATCATATAGGTAAAGTCTATTAGTTTACATGAGAATTAACTAAATAAATTAAATGATATGTGCAATTAAAATACATTTAGTACAAATTTTGGTTATCACTTAGTCTTTCAGGAGCTATCAATAGACTATTCCTCATACTTAAAGAAATGTGAAGCCACTCAAAACTGTTTTTTATTCCTTCTGCTGATTCTAGTACCCACTCTGTACTTGTCTTTTTCCCAAAACCATTTCTACAGTCCGGTACACTAAGATTTTCTGGCTTATTATCATCCCTAGCAATTTGGTCAGAGTAGCATGAGGAAGACCATCATTCCTGGAAGTAAATATCCGTAAAATAAAATTTCTACCAAAACAGATGTCGTTGATAAGCTCATAGAAAAGACGATGACCAAGAAAACTGGCAGCATAATTCATCCTATGCCTAATACATTTCAAGAACTCATGAGAAGGAAATCATCCCTGTGTTAAAACAAGAGGTTTCCCTGAGCCATCCACATTTAACTACAACACAGGCAGAAAACAAAAGTACCATCCATGAGGGACAAATAATGTCACCCAAAATGCTACCTGCAAAGGGAAGAATCCAAAGAGTTATGAAATTAACTTATAAACTAACTCAATTTAACTATTTAAAATGTACAATATGAAATGAGGAGAAGAATTAAACTTTAGACCAGCAGTGTTCTATCACTGAGAAAGGTAAGAGCAACTGTCAAATTAATTTTAATTTTATAACGGAAAGTGATAGACATTTTCCACATTAGCTCATTATCATTTCATTGTAGAGATGTTAGCCAGCTGCTGGTATTCTTGCCAAATTAGGCTAATCAGTGATTATTAGCATATGTTTTCATGTCCAAAATCTAAAAACTGATGCTTATGCCAAAAAAAATCAGGGTGTAGATGAAACAATGCAAGGAATTCAGCCTCACCTTTTAAAGTTTTTATAAGAAACAACTGCATGAAGGAAATACTTGTTGTATTGGTATGAGAAATTTATTTTGAGTGTGTAGGTGGCAAATCAAGCAATCAAAGGCAGCTTAGCCTAAGATATGAAGAGAATCCCCACAAATGTAAAGTAGTTCACCACCCTGAGCTATGCATTGGCTCCTACATCTCTACCAAATTCTACCTGGGATCCTATTGAGAAAGTAATTTAGAGTAGAAAGAGAGATTCCACAATAATTAAACACCTTCTGAACCCTCCTCTCCTTTCTCCATCGACCACATCTATTTTCAAAATGTAACCCCAAAACAGACTCTTCGGTTTAAAGTAATTCTTTAGTGGCACAGATAATAGTGTTTCCAAAGTCTTTTTTAGATGATTTATTCATTTGTACAGAGTGTTAGCCAGTATCTTTGTTATTTCTCGCATTGATATTTCCCTCTGTTTATTTCTCTTGTTTTACAGCAATGGTGTGGTATTATCTCTCCAAACAAATATGCCAAAATATATTTTATAGTGGCCTCCACCAGCTTCCTTCACTGCCTGTTACCATTTCAGGCTGTGTGCGCTATGCTTCAGTCTCAGTCTACGGAAACTTCTCACAGATGTGGGATAGTAGCTGACATTTTATTGTTCAGCCGGACACTAAATTAAGTAATTTTTATGTATTGTCTTTATCAGGCATATAAAACAATTCAGTGAGATACGGGCCTCCACTATTTGCTTTTTGAAGATACTGAAACTGAAGTTTGGAGAGATTAATTCATTTGCCAAAGGTGAGTCAGAGAGCTTGAATTGAATCCTAAAGTCTCCACACTTAACCACTGCAATACAACTGTGGTCTTTTAAGAAAATATCATCTGTCCAAATTGCTTTTTGAAAAAAGAAGAAAGAAAAAAATAGTGTGACATTCTTGCACTCTGCCACCCTCCACTAATAAGTCCATTTGGAAAGGACCCTTAAATATAATTTTATCAGAAGATAATTAATATGCCAGTGTCAATAGACTTTTATTAAATTCATTATAACCCCTAAGACAATATTTCATTTTTAAAAAGTTATTAGCAAAAGAGTATGTTCTTCTGCAAAAGTAACATCTTTCTGTTTCAATCAAGGGAATGTGAGTTACCATATTGGGGAAACAATTCACATACTCTAGTTTCTAGATCCAGATGGTATTTTTGAGGTGGTCACTGGTGAGTAACCAAGTGGAACTCCCCTTCTTTTTCATAGTTTTATTTTTTTAAATTTTATTTAAGGAGAAAAAGAAAAAAAAAAACAGAAAAAGCTACAGGTCATACAGAATTTAAAAAAATAAACAGTAGGAAATCACTAGTACATATTGTTATATTAGAAATAGTTGTTCAAGTTACAAAATTAAAGCATATAAAGTGGACATTCAAATAGTGAGACTGCAAACAGTTCTGTTCAATGATCCAACAAAAACTCAGTAATATGGTTATCTATCTTATATGCTTAAATATACATGCAGTTATATCCTTAGAGCACTTTCTTTTCCTCTCTTTTTTACAATGACAATTACACATTTTGGGTTTTATTACTCCCACAGTTCTCATTACTTTTCTTTTTGAAGAGAATAAAACCAAATGTGACATAACAAAACAGAGTCAGTCAAATCAAAAGGATGGGCATAGTACATAATGTAAACACAGAATACAAGATGATCAACAGTGGTTACCATAATGCCTCTTGCTATCTTAAAAAGAATTGCCTATACCATCAGGGTATAATAAAATTGAATAAAACAGTAAAGAACAAAACCAATAAAGCCAAAACATTGAAGATATTACAGAACTTCAAAAGAAGAAAATAGTCAAATCAGAATGGACATCATAGTGAATCTTATTGTCTCACAGTTGTTGCCTATACTCTCAAACTTGGTAGTATCAAGCAAAACAGAATAGAGGAAAATCAATCAAAAAAAGATGGTGAGAGGAATACAGAGTTTCAAATCAAGTTAATAGGAAATCAGAGTGGGTTACTATAATATATCTTGCTATTTTTAAATTTATTTTTCCCTTAATTAAAAAGATAAAAATAAAAAATAAATAATAAACAAGGAGATTGAGATAAAAGAGGGCATAACTACAAAATAGCACAGGTCCAAACATAACCATTTAAGCAAAATAATGTTTCACCACAAGACATCCCGACATTAAAGTAGTTATCATAGTGTCTCTTTCCTTGAAATCTTTGAGTACAACTTCATATACTATAGCATCAAACATATCAAGACAGTGTAAAACCATTCAAGAGAATGACAGTATTACAGGGTATTTAGAATCAACTAACAGAAAATGAACAATGGTTCCTGTATTATCTCCTTGTCTATAAAAGTTTTTGTTTATATTATCACATATAATAAAATCCAATAAGATACAACATGTTAAGACTGATGGAGACAGAAGAACAAAAGCTTGATGGGACTTCAAAACAAGATGATATTAAATAGCTATTATGATGTCTTGTTTTTTCCAAAATAGCTGTTCATACCATCCAACCTTCTCTTCTCTGCCTCATTTCTGTTGAGTTTTTCTGTCATTAGTTGTCAGTTTGTCTTCTTCATTTTACTTTCTGCTCCATTCATTGTGGCCTCTCTGCCACTGTTTCTGGAATCTTGATATTTTTCTCTTTTAGAATGTCCTGCAGTATTCTCTGTAGAGTTGAATTGGTGGTTGCAAATTCCCCTAGTTCCTCTTTATCCTGGAAGCATTTTGTTTCTCCATTAATTCCTAGGGACAGTTGTGCAGGATATATCAATCTTGGCTGTAGGTTATTGTCTTTCAAAGCTTGAATTATTTTGCCCCATGCTCTTTGTGATTTGATGCTTTGTCTGAGAAGTCTGCTGTAATTCTGATGGGTGTTCCCTTGTAAGTGATCTGTTTCTTGTCTCTGACAGCTTTTAATATTCTGTTCTCATATTGGATTTCTGGAATTTTGATTATTATATGCCTGAGTGTAGTTCTGTTTGGGTTGTAGGTGGCTGGGGTCCTGTATGCCTCATATATCTGAGTATCTTTACAATTTGCTAAATTAGGGAAATTCTCTTGGATTATTTCTGTGAATAGCTTTTGTAGTCCATTTGTTTGTGTCCCCACTTCTTCTCTTATGTTCTTAATTCTTAAGTTATAGATCCTCTTATTCTAGCCTTTGTATTGTTACTACTTGTTTCCTTGTTATTTTTAAGGTTTTCCTTTCATGTTCCCATGTTACAAATCTGTCCTCCAGTTCAAATAATCTATCCTTAGTTTCTTTTAAGCTGTTATGCCAGCTTTCAATAGAGTTTTTAGTAATCTGATAATCTCTTTGAAACTGCTTCATATATTCTATGTTTTTCTCTATTTTCTCCATCAAACAATTCTCCCCTTTTTAGAAATTCTCCCATTCCAACCATTTGTTTTTTCTTGGGAGGTGCTTAGCATTTCTTTAATTAGTCTACTTATATCTTGCTTTACTTGGTTAAATACTTCACTTTTGAACTTGTCTATGAGACTCCAGAGATATCGCTTTATGTCTATTGGTGCAGTGTCTGATATTGCATGTTTTCTGTCCTCCTTTGCATTTACCTTTCCTGGATCAGTGTTCTCAGGATTGGGGACTGAGGACCCTTTCTTGTTGCTTCCTCTTCCCATACTTTTTGTTCCTTCCATACAAGCATATAGAAGAGACCCAGTTTTTTTCTTTGTCAGATACAGTTTGTTTGAATCATGCTGGCTAGGTGTTCCCACCCACTGCAGTGTACTAGGGAGACACAGACCTGGGCAGCCTATGCTGGGTCTGCCCCTCCAGGTCAGTCAAACTATTGAAGGCTTCACTGCATTAGGGTGCACTGCCAGGCACAGGGACCTGGTTTGGGCTAGCCTACTGGGTCTTAGTCCATGGCATCACCCAGGTCAAGCACTCCCCACCAATCCTGGAATATGTGACTGAAGTCACTGCAGCCTCCTGTTCTGGCTAGTCTGCCCAGTCCCAGAATGTCCTCTGTTGGAGCCTCTTAGTCTATGGAAGTATCCCTGTTCCTCTCACTCACTGTAGGTTGATGCAGGGCTCCCTGCCAGCTCTGCTCTCAATTGGGTTTGCCAATTCCCACTCTCAGACTCTTCCCATCTCTGTCGGTGCTGTACCAATTCAGATGCAGCAGGGGTAGCAGGAAATTCAATCCATGGTTTCTAGAGGTGTGGGTTCCAGCTTCGGCACTGAGACTTTAACTGTTCCAGTCATAGCACCTGGATTGTATTTCCAGTTGGTTTCTCTCAGCTTAGTTCATTCCTGGGTTGGCAGGGTATATCTCCCCCTGCTTAGGACTCCTCACACCACACCATTCCTGGAATCTAAGCTGGCGATCTCAGAGAGCCTCAATAGCTGCTGTTATCTATCTGCCATGTTCTCCCGGAAGTCCTTTTTCATAATTTTATTAAGATATAATTTATATACTACAATTATACATGTTTAAAATGTACATTTTGGGAAATTTTGGCAAATGTATATACCTGTGAAATTATCATCCAATCAAAATGATAAATATTTCTATTCTTCCAGAAGTTTCCCTCTTCCTTTTGGTTATCATTCTCTCTCTCTCTCTTTCTCTCTCTCTCTCTCTCTCTCTCTCTTTCTCTCTCTCTCTCTCCCTCTCTCTCTCCTTATTCTCTCATGCTATATACTAATTTTATTTTCAAAGACAAATATATAAGTTGAGTCATATAGTACATATACTTTTCTATCTGCCTTCTTTGTCTCAGTATAATTTTTCAAAATTCATCTATATTGTAGTCTACATTGATGTTTGATTTTTGTTGTTGTGTGTTATTGTTTTGCACAGAAGTGCCAGTTTGTTTATCACCCACTAGGATAAAGGTTTTTTTTTTTCATTTTTATAATAAAGTGCATAAGAATGTAAATGTATAAATTTTTTGTCTTGATATATACTTTCACTTCACCTTGACATATCTAGAATAGCATTACTCTACTGGGTCACATGATAAGTATATTTTAAAATATTTTTAAAACTGTCAAATTCTTTTCCAAAGTGGTTGCCCACTTACACCAAAACTGTATAAGGGTTGGATAGGTGAGTATTCTTGTTTTTCTTAAATCACTATCATCAAGAACCAAAGAATCCTTACCTAGAAAATATGTTGAAATACAGGATCAAAGTCTCTAGTTTCTTGATGATGAATTCTCCATGCTTATAAAATTTGGGCTAGTTTCCCATGTCAGACTTCTCTTTAAAGTCCTGTGTTCCAATATACAATTTTCAAGTCCATCCATTAATCTAAAATAAAAATCTGAGTCATTCTTAACTGACTACACTGTTTGTATTACATTCCACGTATAAATGCTAAGTCCTCCCAATAGGACATCTTAAAGATATTTCACTCATCTCCCTTCTTCATTTTCAGCATAGCGTTTCATCATCCTTTGTAAGAGCCTTTAAAAGAGCTATCTGGCTCCATAATCTGACTCTATTTAAAATAAAATATAATCATGTTAGCCCACCTAACTCCCAAGAAAGGTCAAAGCTAACATTGTATATATGACCCTCTGGCCCTCTAAGTTAGCCATTCATTGCAACCTTATGCCACTGACCTGCTTATAAATAAATCCCTCTCACATGATTCTTGTCTCCATGGAGTCACACAGGCAGCCCAGTTTTTCCTACTTTTTATCTGACCTCCACTGTCACACCCAGCAATAAGTCTTCCTTAAACTTCCAAGCTCTACTCTTTGGTATTTTCATTTTTCTGAAGATGTATTTCTACAACAGTGCTATAGATTGTTTTCTAATAATAGGTTGGTGATATTTTCTCTTCCACTGGATCATGAGCTCTTTGGTTCAAGTATGTTTCAACATCATTATTACATTTCCTGTGCTGAGCACTATGCCCAGAGCTCAGCAGACATCAGTGAATCGAGGTTGAATGAACAAAAATGTCAGAGTCTGGGGTCTGGAAAAAAAGAGGATCTACTATAAAGTTATGGGACCTGATAACATACTAGACCACAATAATAATGGTAATAGAACCCAGACTCAGGATTCAACTGAGTCATTTTGTTGTAATATACAGGGATCTTAAAAGTTACAAAACATTCCCTGCCTCTACTTGGTAGGTGTATAGTTTAACAATCCCTTCTTCGGTACATGATGTTATCTCACCCAATATTTGGCTTTCAAAAGAAGTCTGTACTTTGTCTCATATCCATCTTGCAGTGAACTCTGTAGAACTCTCTCTCAGTCTTGTTGGTAATGCCTGGCTTCCTGGGGTATAGAGAGGTAAAACTTGAATAATAGTTCTTTAAAGGATCTGAAAGTCTTTAATTTCTTAAATTTCATTAAGTAAATATTTCCAGGTCCCCTGGAATGAACTTCCTACAATACCACAAGAAAACCAAATCAAGCAAGCCACAGCAACAGCAACAAAAAACCTTTTGAATAAATTAGATAATTAATTAATTATTTTTGAGATGCTTGACCAAAACAGGGAAATGCCTCTTCAGAGTGGCTCTCATCATCAGAGGATGCATCTGCAGATGAAAAGCAGGGCAAGGATGTATGACTCAGAAATTCCACTCACTGAATGTGGAGGCATTCTTTTCCCCAAGCTGGGCGTAAAGCCAATGTCACCATAACCTTAATGGACTCAATGTAGCTGTGAGTCGTAGAACCTCAGGAATATAATCACGAAGAGAACTTTAAAATAGTGTTCCAGGAGATAACTGACACTCAAAAGTGAATAACTATGGACAGGGCATGGAACTGGAAAAATGGTGTGAAGCTGCTATATGTAGTAAACGTCTAGATTTGGGGCCCATAAATGAAGCCATAAGAAAAAATAATCCAGAACCTCAACCAGGAATAGTGGTACACACTGAAAATTCCAGCACTCTGGGAGGCTGAAGCAGGTGGATTGCACGTTCAAATGTGGCCTCAGCAAATTGGTAAGGTCCACTCTCAAAAATGTTTAAATTAAATCAATTTTAAAAGAGTAGAATTTTTGCTCAGCGTGAAGGCTGTGGGTTCAATCTGCAGTTCTGAAAGACAAAATTTTAAAAAAAGAAAATAGCTTAAGCAGTAAAAAGAGAAGACTCCTATCATAGAAGGAGCAGCTCGTAGGACATGATTGTCCCAATGACAAGGGCTCAGGCTACTTACCGTATGAGTGCGACATGCTGTTCCTGCAGCCCTTCTTAGGCTAATTCTTGATATATGTGGCCCCATCTCCCTAACCAACCTACTTTTCTGGACTACCAGCCACTTTGATCTTGAATTTTTACTTACACTCAGGCTTGCTATCTTCCCTTATAAAATCTTCACATCTAACTCATTGAAATCACCTGTATAGCGAGATGATAGGGAAAATAGAAGCCTAAGCTTAATACACTGGATTGATGTGACATGTCTTTGCTCATATAAGTTCTTCTACAAGAAATGCCCCCCCACCAAGAATTCTCTCTAGTTCCTAATGTTTTTAATGTAAGTTGACTTTTAAAAATATTTCTTGGGTTTATTTGCTAGAAATATGGAAGTTTGACTTTTCTTTTCCTGGAAGTTAGTGGTCAAACCCAAAGATCAGATTTTTAATGACTTTCTAATGTTATGTTTAAAACGCATACAACATTTTTCATTAAACTTGTCAAACAATGATGATATACTACTAAAAACTACCTAAATTTAAATGAAATAGACCATATATTTCTCAAAAATATTCTTGTATTCCCTATGAAAAGCTCCACATTTATTTCTACTTCATCAATAAATATCTATCTTTCATTTCCACTATTTTTATTTGTACCATCTTTTTAATCTGGACCAATCCACAATGATTTTTTTATCAGAAAGAATTTTTACATTTACTAATTGTTCACTTTCTTCTTTTCCTATTTGCTTCTCAATAATTTCATTTCTTTTTCTAAAATTTAATTTAATTCTGTTTAACTTTATTTTATCTTATTTGTGAGACAGGGTCTCACTGTGTAGTTTAGGGTGGCCTTGAGTTTACCACGTAGCCCATGCTAGCCTCAAACCCACAGGGATTCTCCTGCCTCCATCTCCGGAGGGCTGGGATTACAGGTGTGCACCATTACACCTACCTCATTTCTAATTTTTCTACATATTTATTATGCAAGGTTTGTCTCCATTCCCAAAAATTCTTTTCCCTAACAAATCTTCTTAAAGCTAAAATTTTCACTCTGCCTACATCTGCAGCCAAATTCGAAACATTGTGGCATATTGCTTTTCTAATTGTTCATTTATAATATTTATCATTTCCACTTTTATTTCTTCTTTTATCAAAAGTTTTCCTTTTTTAAATTTTATTTTGAAAGTGGTAAAATACAACAGAACAAGACAGTATAAAGTCAACTAAAATCGTACAATGAAATTGGTACAGAACTTCACAGCAGGTTACCGGGATAACAGTAATAGGTATCACAGTATATTTCGTTATCTTTATAATAGTTGTTCTTTCAATCACGTATATCAAAATGAGATGAAATACAGAACATTATAGAACTTATCAAAACAGAATATTGAATAGAGCAGTACCATTAATCAGAATAGAGCAGAACAGTAATAAAAATATTTGCCTTCAAAGAGATGGTAGAAGGAAGTCCCCCTTATTTGCTATGGTCCACCTCCCAGGAGATGCTCAGCTTTCTGGTTCCCATTTGCTAACGGGGGAGGGTAAGTGGGATGTTTGACTCTAGGCCATGCATCAGTAGGTTCACTATTGTTTAGCAGGGAGGCAGGCTGGTTGTTTGGTTTCACAGCATCCTAAGTTCCAACATGGCGCGGATCTCAGGAGCTGCTGCTGGTTATTCCCCTGGTAGGGCCACATTCTGCCACACCACCACTACTTACCAGGGAAGAGAGGCACTTGCTTGGCTTGCCAGTGTCCTAGGTTCCAACATGGCGTGGATCTCTGGAGCTGCTGCTGGTAATCCCCCTGGCAGGGCCGTGGTCTGCCATACTGCACCGCTTACCAGGGAAGGGAGGTGCTTGCTTGGTTTCCCAGTGTCTTAAGCTCCAACATGGTCACCAAAAGTTTTCCTTAAGAACTGCTTTTAAGTTTCAAAAAAAGAGATATTTTAACCATATTTTAATTGCTAATTATTGTAGTATGTTGAAGTATGAAATACAAGGCTTATTCTTCAGAGTGTGGTACAAATTCAAATTTGCTACCAGATTAATTTAGTTTAAAAATTTAGAAAGATTATATATTCTGCTTTTCTTTGACATGCACAAAGTTGCTTATTCTAAAAAATCCATCACATCAGTTTGAACTTATGTTTAGTCAAACTTTTGAATTCTCAAAAACATATAAATACTTCACATTATTATTATCATCTTTAGTTTTTCTTATGTCACGTGATAGGTGTGCTACATATTTAAAAATCACAGAAGCATGGAAAGAAAGGAAAATAATTGGCTCAGCCAATTCAATTTGGATTCTGAAAATTTTATTGAGACAAAAATCATGAATTTCATAAACTATGCTTTCCAGAGCTCTATTTTATAAATAAACACATGCAGAACACACACATATTTTTCCTTTACAGAGCAGTTACCAAAGGATGGGTTCTCTTTTGATGCTTATTTCCATTTTAGCATAGCCAAACCTTCTTATCCCTTCCTAACGTGAGCCACTCACAACTTTGCTTACTACCATCCCAATCCCAGGACTTCCTGGTCAATGTGGATACATGTTTCACTGTCCCAGTGACATTCCAGGGGCATAGGAGAGTCTACTTCAAGTGGGAGGCTGCGACCTCTCATGATTGCACCTGAGAAGTGGAGCATGAGACCATTGATGCCCAGGTTCCTACTAGATGATTGTATCATGTCCTAGTCCTACGATATGTTCTCTCTCTCTCTCTCTCTCTCTCTCTCTCTCTCTCTCTCTCTTTCTCTCAGTGTGAGAGAATACCCACACTTGGAGAATACACAAGCACCAAGAACACTTGGTCCCTAAAGACTTTTTGCTTACTTACTTTCTACGCCCTCCATTTCCTGTTAAATTCCTTTATATACTATGAGGGGCAGAAGACACATCTCTCTCACAGTGAAACACATCAGAACATTTTTTGGTTCTGTCTCAAGGTGTCATTAGATTGTAGAAACTAAGAATGTAGCTCTTTGTTCTCACTGTGGGCTTTTCTCTTACAGGCAGCATGAGCTTCCTGTTCCACTGGAGAAGTTTAGAAGTTTAATTAACACACTCAGCAGGGAGCCATGGATCTTACTTTGTAAATATTCTAGTCTTCTGCAACAGAAGGGCAAGGAGACTTTGTGAGTGCTACATCACTCCGGGGGGGGGGGGGGTGTGTGGCCTGTGTACAATACAAGGGAGGAAAAGAGGCTTGCTCTCCCTGAACTGTTGCATGAGTGCTGTGCCACCTTCTCTTGGGGCGAGCTGATTACAGACTGGAACTGCTATAAATTGTGAGCTAAATAAACCTTCCTTCCTTAATTTTGGGTTTCAGGTAATATCTCAGCGATGAGAGAAAAATAAAGATACTCTGATTTTGAACCAGCTGGTGTCAGAACCTTGCATCTGCTGGGTGAACTGCAGCTCATCATGACATCAAAACAGCAGAGGTAGTACTGTGAGCAGGCCAGCTGGTCAGGACCTGGAGACTGAGATAAAACCTGGTGGATGAAGTGTTAAGGTCATCAGTTTGATTCTTGGAGACACAGGTGTGATCTGAGACCTCTCACTAAGGCCAAAGACAATGGGAAGCAATCACATCTATTACACTCTGTTTTTCACTGGTTCTTTCTTTACTTCATAATCCAATACTACATTCCTCAAGGGTTGGCCCCAAAAGGTCACACCCTAGATGGCTAATGTCAGATTCTGCAGCTGGGGCTTAGCTATCTCCAACATGACAGCCCTCAACTTGGTATGGGCTCCAGAAAAGCAACTTATCTTTCCAAGAGTAACTTCTGTGTTCTTCTAATTCCAGAAATAAAACTCCTGCTCCATTTTTGCACATACACTAAGCCCTCTACAATCCTAAGACTCCATAAAGGGTTCCACCTCCAGCCCCCACTAAATCTTTTCTGTTTCCTGTTTTGCTCAGGCAAATGTTTTTTCAAATCAGCTGTTAACATGCCATTTTGTACACCTCCCAAACTCCTTCCCTGGCCAGACCTGGTAAAAGTACTTCCACTTCTTTGTTCTCACCTGAGGGTGCTTGCATCTCTTCTGCAGCCCTCCCATGCCCACAAAAAAGGCCTCTTGTCTCCTTTCTTTGTGTACTGCACCAAAATCTTATCAGATAAAATTTAGAAGAAACAAACATAGGAATCTACAGGTTTGATATTTCAAATCTGTTGATGTAAGAAGTGAAAGCTCATCTCTAACATCAAATTTCAGGCCACCTCACCTGGCCCTCCTGTTGTTGATTAGAGGAATATTACATGAAATGATTATTCAATAATAATCTAGCCCTGGGCTTTCAAAAATAATCACAGTTTCTCCAAAAATGTGGTATATGTTGTCCTAATTTTATGTGATATGATAATTTGTTGCAAAGGTCGTTTCATGCTTCAATATTTATCCTTGAAACCAAGAGCCAGTAGTTATAAAGAGGAACCAAATCCTCAAAACCAAATCCTCCTTGCAATAACACTACTTAAAATAGCAGCTTGAAAGTTTGAAAAGAAAGTTAATTCTGCATCTAAAATTATTAATTGGAAAGAAAACAAAAATATATTCAATAGTAATTAGAAAATGAGTCAATATTTCAATATTTTGAAAAAATTGATTTTCAAAAAATGTTTCATTGTAATGCTCATAATTGTGGTAATTCAGACCCCGGAATAAAATCCAAGGAAGCAAGAAATTAAAATTTAGGGAGCAAAAGCTTTATTTTAGGCCAGGCCTGGCAACGCAATCTCCAGGAGCCAATCTGGAGACTGCACTCCTGACAGCTAAAAGTCAGGACTTAAAAAACGGCAAACAGCTACTGGTCTCACAGTGCAAGGAGAGGGGGGAGGGGGTGCACTACAGAACAGGAACGCGGCAATTACATTGGGAAGAGCAAAGTTCAGATAAGGGTTGGGCTAACAAGCAAATCTCCCTGCATACAAGCAAGTTTAGATTGGGCAAACATCTTTTTTCTCTGTTAGCTTATTTTAGTACCACATCTGTTATTTGTAGAGGGCAACAATGGTTAACATATCAATTAGGTAAGATTTTGCAATTTTTACAGAGGAGAGCATTTCTTAAAGAATAGCACATTTTATTACAGATGGCCGGATGAGGGGTAGGGAAGGGGGTTGCAGGAAACTGATCCCTAAGGCTTTGACAGCTTTCTTAGGAAACAGAAACTTAACCTAGAAAGATAGGAAGGGAGGGAGGGGGCCGAGTGGCGCATACAGAACACAGAACAGGAATGAGGCACAATGGTTAGAACTAGGCTATAACAATAATAAATTACTTTTATGATGTGTAAGTGACATCATTTGTTGCATATTAAATATAAAACATTCGTGAGCACAAGTAGCATGCGTTGATGAACTCTGAATGAAGATATGACCTCAAACCTGTTCTTCAGTACAGGAATTTTTAAAAGCCACTTAAAGTTCATGACAACTTCATGAAATGAAATAGACTGAGATTAAAACCTTTCATTAATGTTATAATCCAAAAGGCAATTCAAAACAAATGTACTTTCTCTCTTTAAACTGAGACTTGTGAATTAATACTCCACAGAAAAAATATGAAAAATTAAAACTTTTCATATTCAAACACATGACAGGCCTAAGAATTATCTGGAAGGGTAAAAAAGAAATGTCAAATATTTTAGTACTGTATTGTCAAAATCTTAAACAGCATTACCGGAAAAGTATCAAATCATACTTGCCCTATCAAGAAATTTCTATAAACAGGAAAAATTAATAGCATACTATCAACTTCTGGCCATGGCAATTCTTACTTTGATGTGCCATAGAAAGTAACCAAGGCCAAAATAAACACCAGATTGCCCAACAGGCACCTGAATAATTATGAAGCCCCTGTGTCACATTTTGGGCCAAATATAAACACAATGTCTGGCCAGGACAAAGCACTTAGTAATTTTTTTTAAACAATGAAAGAAAATATTCATTGGTCAATGTGGTGGTCATATTGGTACACTGATAAATGATACCTCGGAAATATTTATGTGCTACCATGAATCAAGGCCCAAGGATTAGATAAGTGTCATTTCTGCCATCACAAGAAAGACAAGTAAAAAACACACAGAGATGTATTAAAGTCACACCAAAACTTATGAAATGTAAATGAAAGATAATCAGTTCTTTCTAGAAATTTTGCAGAAATAGCCACAGAATGAGTAATAGTTGATCTGGTTCAAATACTTTGAGTAGCATTTAGGTGGATGCAGAAGAGCAGAAAAGTAAGTTCCAGAAAGAAAAGCCTGGGTCTAAGGCATTGGGGGAAGTTCTCTAAGAACAGTGAACAGCTCAACAAGGCAGAGTTGGGGCAGTTGTGTGAACAAGCCCCCTGCAATGTGGCTGGAAGATCATCTCATGACAGCATTTTCAAGGCATTTAAAGACCTTGATATTTTCCTATAGGTCTCAGGAAGCTACTAAAGTTACGTAAGCAAAAACAACATATAATTGAATCTGATATTTATAAAATTTGCTTTCTAGTGGGGAATAAGAAAGTTCAGATAAGAAGAATCAGAATTAGAGGAAGCACACATTCAGGAAAGAAATCCTAAAACTTCACAGAGAATTCAAACACAAGGACTGGAAAGTACCCCCCACTATTTGCCCAAGTGCTTGACCCTGTGAAATATATAACATTAAATAAATGAACAGGTTGTAAATGTCTCTGCATTAGCAGTGATATGAGTTCTAATTATGATGAATGCAATTTTAGTAAAGCAGAAGACTGACATTACAATGTGCTACTTAACAGACATTCTATGATGTGCCCACTTACTTTTCAGGGAAACTTAGTTGCTTGTGGGCTCAGGGTGAAATTAAAAATTAAATCTAAAGTCATGGGCCATACTGTAAAGTGTATTATATAGTACAGTACAGTACAGTACCATATTGCTTTTGTAATTATAAAGTATAACTAGATAAGCAATGAGAGCTCATTATCAGTCCTATTTTCAAGCATTTTCCTTTTTCACCATTAACTATAATATTCTAATTTTTTAGCAGTCTTATTTTGTACTCTCTAAAAAATTTTTTTAGAAAACAATGCTGTCTTTCCTGAGCAGTTTCAGGAAGCATGGTATTAAGAGATTCCTTGAAGAAGTTGTTAGAATCTCATTTGGTAGTTTTATAGCTCAAAAATAAGTGGATTTCTAACCAATTTTGTGGTGACATCTTATCTCTGAAACCCTGCACCTCAAAATGAGAGATACAGTTAGAATTGCACTCCTTACCGACCATCCATTCCACCATCTCAAAAGAGCAGGCACCTCAGTTCCTTATTCTTGTGTCCCATGAGGAATCCTATGCCAGCCTGGCCTTACTTCAGGGAAAGCTGTCTCTGTTATTACATCCAGAAGAGAGACCAGCATCTCAGGCTTAAATTCATCTGCATAGGCCCAGCTTAGACCATTCATGCTAGTTTCCGTCTGTGAGTCTGAGGAAAGCATTTGGTGGGACTTCTCCCTTTGGAAAGAGCTGAAGAGAAAAGACTCCACACCTCCCCTGCATAGTGGAATCTGGAAAAACTTCAGCCAACTTCCTACCAGAGAGGCCCCCCTCTGTTTGAGAAAGTCAGAACTGTGAGATATTATGAATGAATAACAATAAATCCAACAAAATGAGTTAATATGTAAAAATACTCAAAACAGTGCCCAGCATATTGACAATGCCTCTCTTAATAAAGAATCTTTTATTTAAGTATTTACAATTATATTGTCTAGAGCATATGGGATTGTATTTCCACCTATAATTTTCAATTCAAACTTCACAATTATATGAACACTTAAAATCAAGCACAGACTGCCAGTAGATCAGTATTAGTTACTTTTCTTGCTGTTGGGACAAAATACCCTACACCCCGAGTTAAAAGAATAAAGGTTCATTTCACTTTACAGTTTACACAGGTTTTAGTTCATAGTAGGCTGATTCCAATGCAGGGTGGTACATGATAGAGGGACATCAGAGAAGAGAAATAGTCCATGGCAAAGGAAGACAGGCAGAAGGTATCAAAGGTGCATAGCAGCAAGCAATGACAGCAGTCCTCTTTCTGTCCCATTTATTCCATCCAGGCTCCCTGCTCTTGGGTGGGTACCACTCATACCCAGGGCGAGGCACTCTTAATCCCACCATCACACACCCTAGATCTAGCCACCTCCATAAAAGACTCACCTTTAACCACATGAGTCCTTGGGGGGATATCTAGATTCAAACCATAACAAGATTCAAGATTGAACCTATAAGTTCTGAGCCATTTTGTCATTCCGTAAATATCAAGTTCCTCTTTTTTGAAAGATGATGGAAGTGTATATATATATATATATATTCATTTAATAATAATGGTGGTGAGCAACATATTGTTCTAAGCTCTTGGGTTATAGTACCAAAGAGACTCAGTCTGTGTCCTCATGGCATTCCAGTTGGAGTAGCCATCTGCGCTCCACAACCAAGTCATATTAGTACAATCAGGATCCAACTCTGGAAAAATTTATACCTGCCAAGCACTATAAGTGCTATCACTCAGTAAAATACTGTCAATGGGGGTAAAAAGAATAAAGAAGGCTAGAAGAGAAATCTGTATACCAGAATAAAATGAAATTTGTAAGATACATGAGAAAGGAGAATACAGGGCTCTCAATGACAAGAAAAGAGATGTGACGTGTAGAAGCAGAAGTGTGATGCAACACGGCATTCTGATTCAGAAAACACAAGGTTCTAAGTGTGACCCTGTCTACGGGCAATGCTCAGATCCTGATGCAGAAGAGTTCAGACTAGGAGTGATAAGTATTGTCGTAAAAGGCAATTTAGTTGGTTAGCTAATAAGCAAGCAGTCAACAAGGAAGATGGCCTAGATAGTCAGCTGGTTACAAAGAAAATAGTACACACACCAACTTAAGAGCAATTCAAGTTGTCCCACTAGTTAAGGTTACAGATGTAAAAGCAAACATAGGAAAAAGGATAAAGAATTAGGATAAGAACCCAAACTCTCAGGAAGGAAACTTCTGAGGTCAAATATACTAAATTAGTTAACAACTCCATTCTCTACTTGCTGGACTTTAAGGAACCTAGAAATGCAAAGTAATCAGTTTTTTTAAAATTCATTTCCTTTGAACTTGGTCAGCTGAAAAGCTGATTTTTAAAAAATATCTATATTACAAACCTCCCTTCTTTGCTTATCAATACAAAAACAAAAGAAAAAAGCACTCTGGTACTCCACTTTTGGGACCTTTCCTGAATACCAATCAGAGCTATTTTCTTTTCTTCTATTTACTTCTGATAAACACTCTCTTACCTGCCTCATTTTCTGTCCATGATTTCATGCTTTGGCTTTGTGAGACAGCAAGCTGAAGTTGCTGTGATTTGTAAGACGTTAACTGTTTCTCTGCAGAAGAAACTGTGCCAAGTGTTAATCCTACAGATTTCACATAAAGGCCTAAGAGCTTCGGGTAACTCTTCTCTTGACAGGTAGCAGTGGATAAACAGACAAAGCACGTGGTAAAGAGGATGGAGTGTATCCCAAATCAACTTTCCATTATTAATGTACTTTCAATTGATTCAGAGCACTAGAAATAATTGATTCATTTCTTGGTTGGTTTAGAAAGAATATCAAGTGTTGTTTGTCCATTAAATCATGTACTTTCAGCATTGAAAGTCCCTAACAGTCATTAAGCACAACATTCAGCCCAATGCATAAGGCCACCCCTCCACAACATTCAACAATTTTTAAAAAGCCTTTTTTATTTACTCATTGGTGAATATTTATAGACAATTGGAGAGAAAGGAGTTGAACATAGAATCTTTTTTCTTCACGAAGCTTACATTTTTAACAAATTTCCTGGCTATTAGAAATTTAGACTGCTGTTTCTCTCCCATCACCACCATTACCCCTCTCCTCGTCACCAAACTCTGCGTATCATACTACTGGCCAAATGTGTAAAATAGGTCCTGCAACAATGTCCACTGGCCTTCTGGGAGTGGCACAAGCTCTATTTATAGCCTGTCCTATTCTACAAAACTTCAGCTATTCCTTAAGGCCCAGCCCTTATTTTTCTCTAACTCTGCCTTATGATGTAGAAAAAAAATCTTGTCTCTATCAGAAGCAATCACAATGATTAACAATTCCCTATATGTATATTCAAACACCTAGTTTTCTTAATA